TCTACCGTGTTTTCTCTTTTAAATTCCTCTTTCCAAGTCTAAAGGAAAGAAATCTCCCCCGCTCACACGTGCGAGAGGTGTGGATTACTGTATCTGCGCGCGAAACTGTGTGCTCGCCAAAACGCGTCTCCTCTCTCTCTCGGCAATTATCATGTTTTCTTTAGTTTTCGCTGGTGTTCGCTCACGATCGGTGACGACCCGTTAAAGTGTTGCTCATTGTTACAAAGGTTTTAAGAGTTTTATTGAGTAAAATCAATAAATATTGTTTTAATAGAATACAGTGTGTTTTTGCTGTCTTCTACTTTCAGGTTACATTGGTTTTTGAGTGTTTAGGTTACATTGGTTTTTGAGTGAGGGTTTCTAGGTTTTTGAGTGCTAGATTAGGACTTTCTAATAGTCTTTCTCTGCGTCTCTTTGGTTACATTGGTTTTTGAGTGAATAGTGTTTCTTTAGTTTTTCAAATACATTACTTGGGGGCCGAACCGGGGATCTTCTTTTGGCAATTTTCCCCGTTTCTCCTCAGTAACTTCGCGTACTTGGGGGCCGAACCGCTGCCGTTTCTTCTCGCTCCGTTGCATTTTCTCGCTTGATTTTTGCCGTTCTTTTTTTCGTTCCGATCCGTCTCTTCGCCGTTTTTGTCGGTTTTTCACTGAAAAAGGGCGTTCAGTCTGGTTGCCAGCTGCATCGTGCCGAATTATCATTAAAAATCGATACCACTTGTTTTCGAGAACGACAGTGAGTCTGGGTGCTACCTGGGTCGTGTCATATTTTTCGAGAATTCGTCGGAAACCTTGCTGATAGCAACGTTGGAAGGATAGCAGAAGAGTGGGAAGCGATTCGAAATAGTGTGCAAGAATAATCATCGAGTTTCGAAGGATTTTCAAGTCAAGAATTGCAGAAAGTCGAGTTTTTCAAGGAAAAATCGATAATTTTCTGCTGAAGATTGCCAAAACAATTTTCACTTGGTTTTCAAGGGGTTCTGTGAGCGTTCAGAGGAACAACTGAGAATTCTGAGAAGATTTCAGCCGATTTTTGAGTGGAAAACTGCAAAAATTCGAGTTTTTCGACGAAAAATCGATATTTTACAGCTGAAAGTTTTCGTCAAAGGTTTCTTTCCGGATTTATTGAAGTTTATCGATTTGTGGTCTTCAATGGTGTGTCAAAAGAAGTTTTGCGAAGAAGGAAGTGTTTCGACGAAGAATTGCTAGCTTCAACAAGAATTCGTGGAATTTTGTGTCGAAAACTGACTTTTTGCTTGGAAATCAGTCAATCTTGCATCAATTGGTTCGGATTTGTGTCGGAGCTTGGAACTTTGCATCGGAAATAGCTTTTTGTTGCTAGTCATCGAGTTTCAAACCGAGTGAACGAGTTTTCTGTTGGTGTATTCTGCTTAGAACGTTGAGTGCCTTGGATTTTCTCGGAAGAAGTGTTTTAATTGTCGGAAAGCTTCATTTTCACAAGTTCTCTAGTTCGTAGTATCTGTTGACAGTGGATCCGAGGTCAGCCGAGACCGATCCAACGTCCTAACCAGAGAGACTTGTTTACCTGTAAAAGACCCCCAAACCCCCCAATGTGTAAGATAAGCGGTGCAAGTGCATAACAGTACACAAGCTATTCGAATCCCAATTTATTGAAGGAAAGAGGATCGAATAAACGGCAAAGACAATAGTAATGGGTAAAAGAAAGCGATACAGAAAAGAGATAAAGGTGTAGGACTAAAACCTCCTGGGAGCTACCGGAGGAAACCTTGCTGCCCTCAAAAACTGTTGCTAGCAAAACCATAACACTGCCAAACGTAGGAATAGTCTGAAACTATAATAAAAGTAGAAAGGGACCGCATAGCGGCCAGAAAGGGGAGATACCAGTCTCCCTGATACGAACAATTCGTCTGTGAGCGTGCGCTGAATGCGCCGCTCATGTCGGCGCGACGCGTGTCGCGGCACGTGTTGGCGCTTATTCA